TTCATTGACTCTCTATGTGTTGAATGTTCTGAAACAAGAATGTTGGTTGACATGGGCTCCAAGGCGTTGTTGCACCACGGCCAAAGGGGAAAGGTTGAAAAAAGGGGTTGGGTGGGCAGAGGCTTGATTTTCAAAGGGGGAAAAAAAAGAAGAGGCGAAAGAATGTGCAGAAAAACTCTTCAGTCTGTCTTTTCAGTCTCCTCCTGTTCCTTGACACTGGTTTCTTGCTTGAAAGTACCGCCGACGGCTGACAGCGGTGGTTGCGTAGCATCGTGGGATGTCTCCTCGGCGGAGATGATGGCCCGTACTCTGTTGGAGAGGTCGGTGATGTGGACGTCGCCACTCTCCGGGCTCAGTCCGTCAAGAGCTTCTTCGAGGCCAAGAAGGTAGTCGATGTTTAGCCCACTCGGGCCGCGGCTCTGACGGATGTGGGCGGCGAGAGCCTGAGGATCCTGTGGTCCGACAAACTGGTCATTGTCCGGGGTGCCAATGTACACAAGTGTGCGGATTGGCTCGGAGCCATCAGCTGGGTAGAAAGGGGCGTAGTGGATCGTGTAGCCGTTGATCTCGCGAATGTCAAGATAGTCCTTGACTTCGGCGACCTTGTCTGCCTTGATACGGTAGGCGACACCCCAGACGCGTTCAGGTGCCGAGTCGTGGTGGTCGGTCAGCTGCTCCCAGAACGAGCGCTCTATGAGCGTGACAACACGGCCAGGAGCCTCGGGTGTGCCTCTGTGGTCTTGACTAGTGAAGGGGTCAGGACGTCTTGATGTGAGACAGGATGGCGGGTGTTATAAAGCCCTTAAGGGTCAAATGGCTACCTTGCCTGCGTGAGGTGTTAGTGAGACTAGTGGAGACGAGGGGGAGGCAGGACGTGAAGTGGAAATAAGCATTGGTCGCAGCGGGCACTAGGGACGCAAGGTGGCCTTGTGTTCCACGGGGCTGGATGAGACGGCACGCCCGGGGGAGGTAAGGGAGAGACGAACCTGCCAGAAGCGACGGACGTATCCTGTCACCCATCCAGGGATTCTTCTATCTGTGGGGGGTGGACAACATAGATCAGCCGACGGCTCGGATGGCGGCAAGGGGCAGGAGGAGAAGGAGGAGGAAGAGGAGGAGGAGGAGGAGAAGGAGGATAGAAGGGGGGTGTGGTGTGGACGAGGTGAGGCTAACCGAAGTGCGGCGGAGGCTTCCATATCAGACTCCTGGAAGACGGGGTTTGTAACGTTAGCACCGACATGTGTGAGGCTTGTCTACGGCAGGCAGGGATGCGTGCGCCATGCGGGAGGGCGGGAGGAGCTGGAGGACAAGAGCAGCCCAGTCCAGTCCAGCCCAGTAGGGAGAGCGGCAGGGATCGAGGGTGATCTCGAAAGGTCGAGAACGTACCCATAACCGTACAGCCAGAACTCGCCGCTGCCGTTGGTGGAGAGGTCGGTGTCGGGCATGCCGGCTGTCGTAGATTTGAAGTCTGCCTGAGACGATGTACGACACGAAGAAGGCGAAGAGACGGGATATGAGAGATGACAGTCCAGTTGTTGGTGTCCACCGTGGATTCGAGGTGAATACCTACACTTGAGAAGAGTGTTACAACTGGTGTTCACGATGCCAAAGCCTGGAGGAATTTCGAGCAAATCAGTCCCACTCCGGTCTAACTCGCTTCGGACCCTGCACACGCACACACAAAACATAAAAGAGAAGCGGCAGAGGCAGCTCGGCGATCCAGCTTGGATCGATCTCTCAGGGCACTTGCCCAGGCGCGTGAGGGCCGAAGGTTACGAAAGCCAGCCATTGGTGACGCCCCAGAGCGGCAAACCGCAAGGGCCGAGGTGGGAGTTGTGTGAGGGGACCGCATGAAGCCGCGCGTACACATGTTGGAGATAGGTAGACAGACAAGCAGACAGGCAAACAAGCAGAACAGAACACGACGGGAAAGGTCAGATTTGAGGGGTAATGAAGAGAGGTGGACGAGCAAGACGATGAGGAAGAGGAGGAGGAGAAGCAAGATGAAGAGGAAGAGGAAATGTTCTAGAAGGGGAGGGGACTGGGGGGTCTAAAACGGCCCAGGCGGAAAAGTCAAAGTGGCGGGCCTATGTGAGGTAGGGTAAAGTGAATCAATCGGGGCGTGGTCTTGAAGAGAAGGAGATGACGGTACATACGATTTTGGAATTAGAAGGCGGGGAAGAAATGGAAGACTGGAGAGGGAGACGGAGGTGTTCCAAGTGATCGAGAAAGAACGGGCAGGTCGAGTTGATGGCCGCGAATCTGCAAAAAAGCTGGAAAGCATACGCAATCCCGCTTGCCGGCGTCCCGTGCTGGAGGCTCGGCGTTCTGGGGAGGGGCATTGGTGCCGGGGCTGTGGTGGGGCAGGCAGGGCAGACTCGCAGACTCAATGGAAGGGAAGGATGTTAGGGTGGTACGGGCTGACTGTGGACGGTCACGCATACACGATGATTCGAAGACGAAGAGAGGGCCTCAAAGCACTCACTGCCTAGAGATGAGGCGCATGGCAGTTGTCCACATGCAAGATCCATAAGGTCGAACTACCTCACCTTACTGACGAGTGAGGTGATTACTGGTGCGAGGCCAAGGTCAGAAGAGGGACGGACACCTGCCAACTGGCCAGATCATCTCACCTCGGGTACTGGCGAGTGAACGTGCCATGGTGAAATAAGCTTAAATGGGGATACACCTCAACCACCAGCTCAATCTCAGATGGTTGTCATGCCGCCCGGCCCGATGGTGTAGAGGACTTTCCCGTTACCTCAAGTGTGTGTGAGTGTGTGTGGTGTGTGGGAGAGCCCGGAGTTGTAAGGAATAAGTGTCATTCAGATAGGTAAGTACGGAGTACTCTCAATTACGTGTATACGTACCCCTCTAACGCATGGTCCGACGTTCATTGCTGGTCCTGAATCCTGTCAAAACTTACTCAATACGGCAAGTATCCGTAAGGTACGGAGTATACCGTATCCCACACCTCTCAGGCTCCATTCCGAGGCAGCACTTGTCTGATGATCAAGCTGAAGCCTTAGGGATGCGCAGTGCGGTCGGTGGGCGATTGCAATGATTGGGGAGACGAAGAAAAAAGAAAGAAAAAAGAAGGAGGCTCCAGGCTGAAATTTAAAGTGTGCAGGACTACGCAGGACCCCTTTCTATGGCTCCGGTCGCGATCTGTATCTGGATCGTATCACGTACCCGGTCCCGAGACGAAGAAAAGACCCCTTGGGGCCATTTAGTGGATACAGGGAACAAAACTAAGTACCTACTCCGTAGTGCACCACGCATGTCATCACCCACATAAAGACAGAGGCAGGTAAGCTAAGTCAAACTACCTTAGCAATAACGGTATTGAAGATACGAATTATCCGTACGCTAAGCGCGTATGTGGCCGAGCTGTCCCGCGCTAGAGCCCTCGTGGGTGTTTTCTTCTGACGGGATTTGCGCGGACCTGCCCGTCTCTTTCTCTGAGATCTAAAACGTTCAGTGTTCAATAATGTCTGTGATTGCAATGGGTATTCTTTCCCATCCTATCTGCTTTTCTCAATCAATAGCTCGCATCCCCCCCCCCCCCTAGCCCCCGGTGCGGCGTTGGCTTAGTAAATCCACCCGATAGCCACAGAACCAGGAACACCAGGCGAACGTGGCGGGGCCACGAAACCGAGCTGGGCACAGACTAGACTGACTTGACTGGCAATGACTCTGATGGGTGGCTCTGACGATTGATGAACTGACTGAATGGCAAATTGCTGAAAGAAGTCGAGAGATGACGAAAGAAGACAGAATAATACGTACGGAAATATGGAACCAGTACGGTATCGGGAGAGAGGCAGACAGCCCTGGCGTATCCGTACCTTCCCCGGTGCCTGGTATCCGTAAGGTACCTCACTATGTACTCCGTACTCCGTACAGAAAAGTAAAAGGGAAGGAGCAAAAACAGGCATCAGAATCCAAAAGCGAGCAATGAAATCATTTGGAGCTTGTTCTTGTTCTGTTTTTAGCCCGTATCCCCAGAAATGCAATTTCGCACACATCCACTCAAGAGGCTGACTTTGCAAACCATCGCCTGTTCATCCCGTCTCCCGCACTCCCGCTGGCCTATGGTGTCCTTTTTTTATCCATTCGCAATCTCTCAAGTGCACCGCGAAGCCGTAAACCGCCACAACGCTTGCGCATTGTACCCAATTCTGTCCAATCTGTTTCGTGACGTGATCCAGGCCCCGACTCATACGCACACCGAGCCTTCGGCTTCTTCCAACACCTCCTGTCATCAATGATACACGTACCTTCCCTGCACATCACCGCTCGTGCCATCCCGCGCACCCCCAAAAAAGAAGCTGTCTTGTCCGGTCTTCCGTTTGCCGAGAGCTCCCATCTCTTTGCTGTCTGTTCAGTCTTGTTTTACAAGGCCAGATAGCAGCCTCCCCCTCCTCTTCGTCATCTCCGCGACCTGTCATTTATTGCCCGTCTGCATTCCTTCCCCTCCTCCACCCTGACTGAAGAAGAGAGGTCGAAAGAAAGCCTTACCTTACACACCGCGATAACCACCTCCAGCATAAGTCAACCTACGACCGCAACTACTACCTTGGACATCAGCAAACCACCCATACTCAGCCCAAGCCTCACTGCACATTCGGCGTGCGGCTGAAACCAATTTCTGCATTCTCTTTACTGAGCTCAAGGCCCGATTGGCACTTTGTCCTCCTTCGCCGCAGCCTAACCCACCGGCCACCCAGCCCTACCTCTTGACTAGCGTGCCGACTGCCGCCTGACGTTGAGTCGCGGTTCCGCTCCCCTGCTTGCTTCCAGGTTCCATAACCCATCATTCTCTCTTGGCTTTTACATACAGCTACTGCGGCTCCCCTCTGCTCTCTCTGCCCACAGTAATCCCCCCCACCGCGCCAGCTTCATATACCCCAGGAGCCTCAATCCAGTCTCGCCTCCAAAGACCCTTCTCTTCCTTCTCTTGAACTTTTGCTTGCTCCGAATCCGCACCAATTTTCGCAATGGCGTACAACAGACCCTACAACCCCGATGAACTTCCAAGGTACGTTGCACACAACACCATTCATCTAGCCCATTGTTCATGGTCTAAATACCCAATCTCCTTCTTTACCCCGCCATGCTAACCCCCTCCTAGGTTCGCGGAACCCGAGCAGGTACGTTTGCGCCCTCGGCCTCCGGTCACCTGACGACATTTCTACCACATTCATCCCATCGGCACCCGTCACCCCCTGGATCGCGCATCTTGCAGATAAACTAACATTTCCATCATAGAAGGGCGGCGCTGCCCCGGCACCTTCCCAGCAGCCTTCCCAGCAGCATCCTCAGCAACACTCTCAGCCTCGCTACGAAAATAAGCTTCCAGCCGTCCCTCGCGACGAGTACCACCGTCCCGATCCTCGGAACGACCATCGCCGACCCAGCCCCAACATGTACGGCGTCAGCTCTCCTCCTCCGACAGGCAACCCCCGCCCGAACGCCCAGCCCCGGCCACCCCCCAACTCCCGGCCGCCTCCTTCTCCCGCTCCTGATATGAGCGCAGACGGCGCAGATCCGACACTGCTGCCCCTATTCCGAGCGGTCGATAAGGATGGTGAGTGATGCTGCCGACGCCCTTTTGCAACGTCCGCCAACTAATGACTGTCTACAGGCACTGGCCAGCTGTCCGAGCGGGAGCTGTCAACTGCCCTCGTCAACGGTGACTGGACTGCTTTCGACCCTCAGACAGTTCGCATGATGATCCGCATGTTCGATTCCGATCGCAGTGGCACTATTGGATTCGCCGAATTTTGCGGCCTCTGGTCCTTCCTTGCGTCGTGGCGCACTCTGTTTGACCGATTCGACGCCGACCGATCTGGAAACATTTCCCTCGGCGAGTTCACCAACGCCCTCGTTGCTTTCCGTTACCGTCTCAGCCCTGGTTTCGTCGAGCTTCTCTTCCGGACATACGACAAGCGTGGGGAAGGTGTCATGTCCTTCGATCTCTTCGTCCAGGCTTGCATTTCTCTGAAGCGCATGACGGACGTGTTCAAGAAGTACGATGACGACAGAGACGGTTACATCACCCTCAGCTTCGAGGACTTTTTGACGGAGATTCTCAAGCAGCTCAAGTAGGTCTGGCAAAAAGAGAGTCTAGACGTGGACTACAAGACCCAAGGGCTGGAATGGCCCGAATACACTTTTGGGCCACGTCGCATGGGGTAGCTTTCCACACAGTCAGGCAGGCAATGTTGGACTGCAAAGGAGACGTTGTCTCCATGATTTAAAGCAGAGGGAAAAGAAGAAGACGCGTTGTTCAGATGGGAATATTAGATACCCCGGGTGAATGGGTGCAGGTAATGGAGAGGTATATCGTCTGGATTTGGCACTCTACTCACAAGGGGTGGAACTCAGGATTGAATGCATGATATGGGAATCATCTGAGGTGGAAATCATGGCAGTAACTCAAGCAAGATATCGGGCATTGCATTGAAGTTTTGATGAGCATCATACTCACCCCCCTCTGTCCCACGTGTCGATTCGCTCCTTCATGGTCATCGGCTGCCCTTCCAGGAAGAAGCCTCCTTGGTGGCTGGGCGGATGAATAGTAGTATCGGGCTTGACCATTGTCGAAGAGATCTTCGTGTTTCGCTATTGTACGAGGTCAGTCGTACTTGAGCCGGCAGTCCGTCTCTCGACTAGATTCGATTCGATCTCTTTCATATGTGTTGGCGTTTCAACATGCCAAGGACGCCAGAAGTTGGAGCCTGACCTAAGAAGCAGAATGGTTCTGGAGCCCCCTTTTTTTTTTAGAAGAAAAACTGCCTGGGACAAGACTATTCTGGACTCTGCGCCCCAAAAAGAGAGAACAATTGCCTTGTGTTGAACAATTAACTTCAGCACCTCTTTGGGTAATTATAGGCTTAAACTGAATATGCATTTCTTCGTCTTCTGATATGCGAATTACTCCCAACACCCCTTTGTTTTTGTTTTTTTTTGTTTTTTTTTTTTGGCGCTCTCATACCTATTGACAAAAGCCGAACGGATTCTTGGAAGCTGAGACGGAGAAAGAATCATGTACTAAACGAAAGCTACTTCAGCGTGAATCATAACCCCCTCCTTTACGGGCAATGGTAGATGGACCAAAGCGACACCGCGAACTACAAACCCTAATCGTATAAATAACCCATGAGCTCTCTCTGAACTCCGGTGTTCTCTTTCAGAAGGATCAAACACGAGGCAAAAAGGTTTGAAGCCGCAGCAGCGGCGGCGATCAGAGATGGAGCCGGTAGCGGTTACTCGGCCTTCGTGACGCAGAGCTGCGATGAACATGTATACATACACTCATACACCCAAGACCAAGTGTTCTTTACTTCTTGGTTTCATCAGACTTCCACGCCTGATCGTCTCCGTATTAACCAACGTCTATCTTTAGTCTTGGTGAGGACCTTAGGTGAAGAGGAGTGAGTTCACGCAGTAGCTTGTGTGCCGAACCCATGCGAGTACGACCGGCGTATAGATTTTGAGGCGTATTGGCAATCCATCAGCCAGTGGAAGTTCGTCTCTAATTACATAGCTTTTATTGGGAGGGCAGGTCTTTGCTCAAGCGGTCGTAGATTATTCCAGTCCCAATTCTCGGTGCCGGTTCCATGACTGTGTCGCATGCAACGTGCATCTCTTTAGTAGTGCAGTAGCTGATGGCTTTTAAAGACTTACGTTGTCAGCTATAAATTGTTAAAGAGAGAGCGGGTTTTTAATCATCAGTCGAAAATGTTCAAGTCTTACTAGAGCAAGTTCGTCAGCTATGTTATAAAGTATATTCTTCTAATAGCGGTGGCGTTGCCTGTAGGGATCAGGCTCGCTATGCAGGGTAGAAAGGATTCCCGTCCTTTATGTAGCTGATTGAGATTTCTCCTGCAGTCTGTAACATACGTATCCCACTCATGTTCCAGTCTGATTATAATCAGGAAATCTGTATGGGTATTCTTTTCCATCTTGAGATTCTATATTGATAGACACAAGGCCAGACGTTATAACATGCTCATGTCTTTCAGCCGGTGCTGCTCAAAAAAAAAAAAAAAAATGCCAGCTCAGCAAGGCCAGACCACTGGTTCATGGGTTGCAGCTGATAGTCTTCGCAGTTTGTATTAATAAATATGTGCCCCCTTTCTCACATGACAGAATCGCATCCGGTCTTCATCAGCTTGCTGGGAGAAAGGGGTTGTACTGGGCAGACTCTTCCGAGGGAGGGAGACGGTTTGTCTAATCGTAGGGTACGCCTTCTAAATTTGTTGGTCTCTTCGTTGATGTCTTCGTTATGGTATACGTAGTGGCCCACGTAGTCTACAGGAAAGTTGTACGAATTTCACTCGAGGCCTTGTCGTATGATCACTCAGTGAGATGGAAATCAAACACACAATAGGGATCATATGAAATAGCGACATGTATTACTCGGTATTGATCCTGTGTCTCTCAGATGGCTACCACTCTTCATTCCTCAAATCGAAAGGCTCTAGTTGGCCCATTCCCCAGTCCTGGTAGGAAACGCCTCGCCGTCCTGGGCGGGCATACCCCTTAGACGCCTAACCCGAAATCCCGCTGCACTCCCAACCCCCTTTGATTATCCATCTCCTCCCTATTCGTATCTGATTAATAAGTTGTTCATTATATACCATCACAGGTATCTCCTTTCCAAAGAAAGGGTGGGTATATCTCCTTTTTCGTGTCCCGCTTCGCTGCCTCATATAACAAATGAAAGAAAGTATCCATAGGCCAAACACAAACAGACCCGGGATTGACCCGGGAGAGGATATATAAAACCTGCAACTCCGCCCCGGTCTCCGCATATCGGGGTCACGCGTGTCCCGTTCTTTTCCATCAGCGGGGCCCATATTTAGCCGTGGTATCAACCGGCGGCAAGCCCCGTCCCCTCGCCCGCCCCTTTAACCCCTTTCCGTTCCCAAGCAGACTCTTGGACAACGAAGACGAAGACGATGGCGGAGGGGAGGAGAGAACCCTCGCGCCGGGCTCGACGTTCCAGACGCCTTCCCTCGTCATGGCGACCTCCTCGCCGACGCCGAGGACAAGAACATCGGTGCTCTTGGACCCCTTGGCCTTGTCCCTCTTGTCCTGGTCGCTAGCCCTCTCGCGATCCAACCTGTCGCCGCGCTTTCTTTCCCCCGAAGAAGAAGAAGAATGATGGGTGACCTGCTTCTGGGTATACTTCTTCGTCCGCAGCATCTTCGTCACCAACCCCCTGACATCCTTATCCCCGTCGTGCGTGCTCACCCACGCCCTCGCCCCGAGCGCCGCCGCAGTCTCCTGGCCCGCCGGCATGCCCGCCGAGATATTCCCGCCGAGCCACCAGGGATTCGACACGGTATCGAAGCAGTGCAGCAGCGCCGTCAGCGGCAGCGCGGCCTCGGCTTTGAGGTGCGTGTGGGCGTACTTCTCCAGGCAGCGGTACGAGATGCCGTGCGGCGAAAAGATGACCGAGACGGCTCGTCGGTCGCGGGCGTCTGGGGTGATGGACGCGGCGGACCGGACGGAGCGCAGGGACCGGCTGCTGGGCGGTGTCTCGGGCGGCGTCGGCAGGCTGAGGTAGGCGGACGAGTTCTTTGTCTTTTGGTGGTGGTGGTGAGAACCAGACCCCAATCGAAGGGACGAGGCGCTGGCCGTGGTCCGTAGCGAGACTGGTGTTCTTGGGGGCGTCATGAGGTGAGGGAACCGCGGCCACGTCGGTGGCGGGCGGTACGTGATGCCGATGGCGGCGTGCAAGCCCTTAAAGTCCCTCCGCTGTGGGATAAAGGCGACTGTGACCTCACCCGGCTCGCCGCCCGGGAAAAAGGGAGGCACCTTCACCCGGATGACCGTCTGCTTCCCCGTGGCCTGCGGATCTTCCCACCGCGGAATCGCAAAGACCTTATCCTTGTCGAAGTGCTTCCAGCTCCGGATCACCTTGGCCGCCGCCGGCTCCGCCAATATCAGCGTCCTCGTGCCGCTGGCCGGGAGCTGGCGGAGCGTTGCCTCATTGCAGTGGTCGCTCTTGTGCTGGCTGATGATGACGAGGTCGGGCTCCGGGAGATGCTGTAGGGAGCACACGCATGGGCACTCCTTGTGTGTTGCGGTTGACAGGATCGAGTGAAATATGGTGGAAGGCCCTGTGATCCATGGGTCCATCAAAATTCTGAACGGTCTTGGAGCAATGCCAGGAAGTGACTCGGGCACAATGGGCTCAAAGGTGAGGAGGAAGGAAGCATCCGCATTGAGCTGCTTCACAGTCAACGCCATAGCTCGGAAAAGGTGTATAAGAACGAACAAGAACAAGAACGAATGACACTGCAACTCGGCCAGTTTAATATGAGGGTATTGCTACTGAGCAATGGTCTGCCAGAGGAAACTGAACGCAAAAAAGAAAACAAAGCAGAGAGGTCAATTAGATATGGTCCATGACAGCGGGAATGTCTGGAGGGGAGGGCGCGTCGGGACGCAACTCTGGGGATGCGTAGCCGTGAATGATCGGACGTGGAGAAGAGCCTTTAGGGAAACGCGAGGCGATTTCAGGAAACTTTCCCTTGGCCAGATTAGAAACATGGCCCTTGTAACGCCAATTCGCCAGTCCGCCAACTCGCCAGTCCGCCAACGCAAGCACGGCAAAGCTGGCGAGAGGGTCAGAGCATTGTGGTCGAATCTTGAATAGATCAATAGGCTAAGGGCAAGTTAACGCGAGGTGCTCAGACTTCCGGGGGCCCGGCCGTGGAGGATACGACGACCGCTATGTGTGAACGGCCCGGCTACGGGCTGCGTGGAGAGGTCGCCAAGTTCGGTCAAGGTCGGAGGCTGAAACTCTGGAGGCTGTGCCATTTTTTTGGTCTAGAAACTTGAGGGTGCGTCCCTTGCAGACAATTTCTTCGCTCCGGTCCAGTTCAGGCGAAGCGTCTTTAGGATATACCCACCATTCCGTTTCCTTGACCGATGCCACTGGTCAAAAAGCCATCAACACTCGTCGGAGGCTCGAACCAGTCGAAGCAGACGAGTTTCTATAGAGCTTCTTGGCAACAAAGGTCCATCTGTAAGGTCTGTGCGCTACACCTCGAGGGGCTGATCAACGAGCACTTGTGACAAGTTTGTTTGGGATCTAGAAGATGGTGGGCTTTGATTGGACGAGGTCGAATTCGGACGACGCAGGGCAAAGGAGATCCGGGACGGTTTTCAAGTCGAATCGAGTTGCCAAATGTTAAGATGGCAGCGGGCCGCCGACTCGGGTGCAAAGACAATGGAGATGCTTCCACTGAGGCCTCATGCAGTGCAGGATTGACAGCTGGCTGTTGCGGCTGGAGCAGTTCCGGCTACCCCTTAGGAGGTGGGAGGCAAGGGATGACTGACCCATCGTCGTCCAGACCGCGGGAACAAGAGTTTCTAGCGGTGAGTTGGAAATTTCTACACTGACTATAGCTTGAGGCGAAAGACGTCAGTAGGTTGCCATTCTGCCCTAGAAGTGGATGCAGTCTGTAGAAGCCATGGGCTGGTTCTGGTTTTGGCAGAGGGGGCTCCGGAAGCAGGAAAATCGACCGTTTTCAAGAAGCCGAGTCAGGTACGGTTCACAAAGCGTGATGAGCAGTGGGCCCATGGCTCATCTGTCGTCCACATGATGGAGTCTAGAGGTCATACTACAACGGGGGACGGTAGACCTCGTTCGGAGTTTGACGCTGTCGGGGATATCCTGTCCCTTGAAAACGAGACGCCGTGAGTCGAATAGGAGGTCGGATGTATAGGAAGACAGGTTCAAACTGTGTATCGTGTGCATCGGGATGCTGGCGAGGCACAGTAATCCGATGGAAAGCTTACTGGGTTCATTTGACTTGCAATCGAATGTCATCACCCCTAAAGAAGCTTGGCTTGAAGGACAGTGAAAACGTTGCGGCTTCGAGGTTACGACAGCAGTCGTAAACATAGTCGGTGTCACCGACTAGGCGTACTCTTGATTGACCGCCATGTCTCGGAAGACAGGGAGCGAGGCGGCAGATCAGGAGGCTGATGGACGGTTGGGTGAGGGTACCGTGCTAGTGGTAAGAAAAGTAAGAAGAAAAAAAATCCAACATGCATGTGATAAGGACCAAAGGAGTGCTTCTCGAACTTGTCTCGGGTTCTCTCACTCCTCACTAGGTTGCTACCAGTCACCCGCTAGAGAATCTTGAGTCTGTAGCACGACAGAAGGCAAGCTTGAGTGGCTGCTGCTGCGGTCCTGCGGGCCATTTCCGCCGACTTCAAGAAATCTCGGACCCGTGCAAGCTCGCCGTATCCTAAGACTAGCGTATGTTCGCAACAACCCGGACTAAACGTGTAATTTGGGCGAACAAGTCTTTTGACGGGAATGTTCCCTAAGCAAGTTACCTTACTCGCAAGCAATGGAAGTACGTGTGGGAGTGTACGCGGCGCTGTAGTTGAAAGGACTCTCTCTACTTTGACTGTAGCCTTCGTGAATGCTTCTAGAGGTTGGCGTTCAGAAATTTGCGAACGGCCACAGTCATTCAAGAAGCAGCACCAGCTCGACAAGACAGGGGGAGATGAAGCTCCAGGTGATATCCTGTACGTTTTGCTGGTTCTGGTAAAGTCGCGTGGGATTGCTTTGGAGGAGCTTTATTGTCAAAGCTGTCAGCCCTCGCTTGTGGTTGGTTGGCGGTCTCTTATCAGCGGTTGAGCTCGCGTCCAGGACCTTATCCCCCGCACCCTCCATGCCTCCCTTTCCTCTCTCTCTCTCTCTCCGGTACCAGCTAGGAGGAGCTGAGCAGGACGGGCGGTGACTGTCACCGAAGTGCCAACAGGCCGCTGGGTGCGGTATCAGCTCGTAATTAGGCCCGTTCGTGACTGACTTTTGCGGTGGCAGAGGGGGGCAGAAAGGCGGGGTTTATTCACCGCTTTCTTCATTTTTCTCTCATCAGCGCCAAGCTCGATCTCGTTGCTCTCGGTGACAGTAGTTGGTCCTCTTTGGGGTCATTTCGGCATTCATGAAACCATTCGAACTGCGGCTAATAAGTGCCTCCTAACCCAGCCTGACCAGGTAGCTCCTACTAGGGTAGGTGCTTGAGCGATGCAGCCGCCAGCGGCATAGGGGGAGGCGTTCGTGTAACGTTCCGTGGGCCATCACGAGATGGTGGCCCCGATTTAGTCCGATTTGAGGGTCCCGACTTGCTGCGTAGGTATGGGTACTTGAAGAGAAAAAAAATGCTGTCTGCATGGCACCCGTGCCTAGGTGAAGCATCAATCGATGAAATGACTCTGTAACCGAGTCCACGGGTGAGTCGAGATTCGTGTCTGTCAAACTCGGGGGCCAATCATTGCTTCTTCCCTGAAGAACATTATTGAAAACAAAGGCCAGAAGAAAGCACGACCCAGGCCAAGCAGTGTGATGTCACTTTAGTGCTTCGAGGGAGTATGGCTGAATCAATACCCGCTTTAGCTGCAAGTGCTGTCTACGGTTCCGAAGTGCCAGCCGCCCAGTCGGTCAGGGTCCAGGGGGGGTGTAAGTTGTAAGTGGCAAAAGAGAAGAACGTGGCAGAGGAAAATATGGTCGCGAGTTGGGAGGTTTGAGGAAAAGGTACAATTGGCTGCGGGCTTGTGAGTCGTTGCTCAGAGCTGGTCGAGAGAGGGCTGACTAGCCAAGAGCGATTGTTTTCCGTCCGGATAACTAAGGTATACCGTTTGACAGCCTGCCATTGGTAATCCTGTCTGACTTATTCAAGTAAGCTGATACATGGCCCCAGGGGAGGTAAAAAGGCCGAGAGAGATGGTAGCGCAAAGGCGGCATCTGAACAAGGCTTTTTGGGCCTCTGGCCGAGGAGCTCTCTCAGGTATTTCTTGAGCAGGCGCCACCTCGGTGAAAAGCCGTGGTTTCGGGATGCAGCTGGCAGCTGGTGCTTATTTCCAAAGAGGTTGGTTTGGCGAGGGAAGACGAAAGTGGATCAAGTCAGCCTGCAGGCTTAATTTTTTTCCTTCTGATCTCAACATCGGATTCTGGTGTCGGCCGGCCGGATGGCTTTGGGAGTTGAATTTTTCTCGCCTTTGGTTGAACTTTTTTTTTTTTTTTTTCCGCTGCTGGATAGAATCTGCCGATTGTTGATAGGTCGAGGTGAAGAGGATGCAAGGCGAAGAACAGGAGGGTCCTCGCGCCGAATGTGGGGACCTTCCCTGGCAATTTCAATACGTACCCCCCTTGTCTGCGCAACAGCTTTGCTCATCGCGGCATGGGGCGGAAGGAGAAAAAAAAAGAGCAAAAACATAGGTTCCTATCTACTACGTAGGTACCTGCTCGTACCTGCTCGATGAGGAAGCATTCGTACGTATTTCTGACCTTATCCGTTATGACTTTTTACCATGTCTACAGGATCAAAATTCGCTTTCTCTGCCTTGACATCCAAATCCCTGGAAGCTTCGTTGCATCTACACTAGGCATGAAAGGACAAGGTAGCTGTGGATTATACGCAGGTTGACGTGCTGAAGAGCTCCCTGGGCCCTGCGTATTCCTTGTGTAATACATAGCGGCAATGGAGCTGCATCGCAGAAGACGACAAAAGAAGAGTGTTAGTTACAGAGCAAGAGAGAGGAGGGGGGGGAAATTGATTGTTGCAGATATCCACATCCATCTTGACCTTCACCGTACCGATTACACACCAGGCGTGCTGCATGTTTCCGTACTCCCTACAGATTCTTTGTCTTCTTCTCTTTCTCACTCTTCCCAAGCTCTGTCCTAATCCCCACCCCATCAAGCCCGCCTTCCCTCTCCGCTTGTGGAGCAGACGATTCGCGCCAACGTCCACGGGTCGGGGGGTAAGGTCTCCACCGATGCGTGCTTTGGAGGCGCTGCAGACGCTACAGATGCCACGGACTTGCTGCAGCTCCAGGGTTCACCTTTGCAAGAAAATACTTCCAACTTGTCGAGGCAAGGCAAGGGCCCTGCATGTAGTGTACGGAGTAGGTAGTGTACCTATGGTGTGGGCGGTGCCTTGGTGCTTCGGGCTGCCTGATGCCGACCCCTCCGCTGGCCCGTGTCCCCGTTCCCAATGCCCAACGGCAGCCCCGATCATGCTTCTCCTTGTAGAAGGACCGTTCATCGCTTTTATTCCGGAGATTTGGCCTGGGCCTGCTCATCTGGCCACGGCAATGCAATCGCAAAGCGGTAAAATTAGCTCTTGAACTGATCAAACGAAGCAATGAACCAAAAAGTGATACTGTTCATGTTTATGCGCACAGAGTAGGTAGCTATGCTGGGCTGCGTTGTGCACATTATTCGCCAAGCCAAAAAGCACGACGGAAAAGAGCTCAGAATAGGTAGGTACCGTATGGATAGTCAAAAGAAAGCCTCGCTTCGCTTAGAAGGTACACGCGCAATGCTATCCGCACTTGCGGGTACAGCGTATCTCTGAAGTCTGTGATTGCTCAGGAAGCTACGAAGACAAAGTGACAGAGTTGAGTACACTACAGTGCTCCGTACACCATCTGGGGCCCCTCCCCGTTAGCTGGGATGTCAACGTGACGACCAGCGGGGATCCAAGCAGCGGGCAGACGTCGACCGAGGTCAGGACCACGTCCGACCAGTAAGCGGAGGCGAGAATGAACCAGGGGTCCAGCTCCGCTATGCTGCGGGAGGAGGAGGAGTATCTAGGTAGGAGAAGTGAGATGGGCGAATGCAAGCTGCCACCACGCCGCAGCAAGGCAAGGCAAGACGCAAGACATGCGAGCAGACAAGAAGCCTTTCGCCTTGGTCTCGGAGCTTGACTCTGTGAAGCATCCTGTTGGCATAGGAGTACTCGAGGACAAAGTAAGGTAGGTGTCCGTATGGAAGGCATGATTGTGCTTCTCAGTTCGGATCATGGAGCGACGACGGGATTTGGCAACGGTTGAAGGGTGGGGCGAGCAAGGCGAAGAACTCAGAGTAGTCAAGCTTGGGGCCCGTGGTGAGTTGGTGACAGACTTTGCGAGTTACTTCCCTGTTGCCAGCCCTGAGCGTCGTGGGTAAGAAGGTACGACCGGGAAGGAAAAAGGAAAAGAAAGAGGCAGGCACAGGCAAGCTTGCTCAACTTTCAAGAGCTCCCCTGTGATGCGGCAAGGACCTCTTTCCACTGTCAACCACTCGCAAGCTCCGAAAAGAAAGAGCAAAGCAAAGCAGCCCACTTCCTGCCCTGTTCCCACCCCACCCCCCTCCTTCTCTCCTTCCCCTTGCTGTTGCTCTCGCTCTTGCTCTTGCTGTTGCTCTCGCTCTTGCTCTTGCTGTTGCTCTTGCTGTTGCTCCTCCTCCCCGCTACCTGCTCCTGCTCCTGCTCGTCCACCACAGGCTGTCAATTGCTTTCCTGTCACACCCCCTCCTTCTCAATTCCTCGACTTCATCCTCCCCCTCCTCTTTCCTCCGCCATGCAAGTCCTCCACCCGATTGTCTCGACTCGAATCTTGCCTGGTTCTGCATCCACGCCCCCTGCCTCGTTCTCATCCTCCTGCCCTCCTTTTCCCCTTCTTCTTCCATCCCCCTCTTCCCACAGACCCTGGGGTCAACCAAGCCAATCCAATCCACTAGACACACTCGATCCCCCATCGAGTCATTGATCTCTTCCACCAACGCCAACCAATTGTCGGCTCTTGACATCGTCGGCGGGTCGACTTGCCGACCTTTTCCCCTACCTTACAGTACGTATAGGTACGTCTTGTTCCTTCCCCTGCGCTTTTCGACTGAAATGCTCTCCATCCATCCCACAGCTGACCCCCCGAGCTTTGAGGTTACCCTCCTGCCATTGGAAGATGACGCCGTAGCCCGGTGGTACCTTGAATGAGCACCAAGCTGGTGTCGTTATACAGTAGCTCTGCCGAATCTTTCAAGCACCCAAACCCAAGCAATAGCGGAAGCGGCAGCGGTAGCAACAGCAACAGCAGAAGCAGAGACTCGCGGTCCCACGGGCGTCAACTGGTTATGGCTGCCGCCATTCTCGGACAAGTCAGGCACCTCGTGGTGCAATCTTTTTCATCCAACAAAGAGAAGAGGCGGAATGACTGACTCGAGAAGAAACATCTTGTTACTCGTCTCTCGGAGCAATACGTTTAGCCCATCGGACATGTTTCCAGGTTCAACAGCCCAGCCCAATGAGCCCAGTGTCTTGGAAAGCTCGGCCTCGGCGACCAGCCGTGTGTCACTTGCCATGCAACGATCTGGCGAAGCCGACTAGATCCTTCTGAAGCTGGCGGTGATGAGGCTTAAAGCCTCTGCTTGGCTGATCACTTACACCATCTCGCGTCACCGTACCGACCGCCGCCGCCGCCCCTCAGAACAGTGCTCATCTAGCAGCGGCAGATGGTAAAAATGTTGATTACTCGTAGCTGACAGTCTGGCGACTGGTGACATTGACGCCGTCTGCCACGGGCCCAACCTTGAGGTGGACTTAGGCTCACCTAACCATGCGACGAATACCAAGTCTTACCTCACAGCTTGTCAGCTGTTCACCTCTGTCGCTCCCCAAACCGACTACTTCCTTGCTCCTTGTACCTTGCGGCCACACCCTCGCTCGTCCGTCTCCTTGTTCGCGGCTGACAATATCCCTTTTCATCTGCATCTTTCATCACATCTGCTTCAGGTGTGCTGTATCCGTAGAAGCAAGCCCAGAAGCAGCATAGGCCCAGGCACAGAAAAGGTACGAGCGCGCAACTCAATTATCATTGCAACACTTTCGGCGTGCGAAGCAAGCAAGGTAGGTAGGTAGCTAGAAGCCTTTCCTACAACATTGGTAGCCGTAGATCGGATTGGAGCCGTATTCGTCGGCGGCTTTTGGATCTTGTCTTGCTTTCGTCGATTCAGCCATTGCTTACCTACCTTACCTAGGTACTCTCTACTGTCCAAGACTAAGGCAGAGTAAGTACATGAACGAGTGAGAGAAGAACAGGCAAGGTTTTACCAGACTCCGAACCAAGCTCCCTCCTTGCTCACACACCTTGCTATCATCCGCCCGTACTTCTTTTGCCTAGCCGTGTAAGTAGGGACTCATTTGGCTACAGATCATGCTGCGTAATAACTGGCCTTATGTGACTGGGCTGCGACCATGATGTACCTGGGTGAGCAAGGTAAGGCAAGGCAAGGTAGCTTGTCCTGACCTGACCTGACCTGGACCTGCCCTGGGTACCTTCCATGAGATACCCACCAGACCGAGCCACACCCCTACCTAGCCCGTCCAGTACCTCTCTTTTCCCCATTACCGCTACTTACTGCTTTCGGTCAACTTCCCTTCTGCCCCCAAAATCAGGTTCCTTCTCTTCCTCTTCCTCCCCGTCCTTTCCTCCCCCTCCATTACACCTTGTTCTTCGAAACACTCTTTGTAACACGCCTCAAGACGAGAGCTTCCAGAGCTCTAGACTCTTGCTCACCAAATATCGCAGCCTTTTGTCGAACCGTCAAATGCTCAAGCTCCAACATATTCAGTCGCCTTCAATTGACCTCGCTTCGCGATACGCTACGACAGTAACAGCACTTATCGCTCCTCACCCCGCTCAGTATCGATACCAGCCCTCAAGCGCATGGTGGGGTCAAGATGCCGCCCAGATCTTCTCTCACGTCTTCTTTTTCAATCACCGACTCCAACAATGAGGTCGTCTGTCCTCTGCGGAATCAGGATGGATCTAGCTGTAGGAAAAGATGCATCGGTGTAAGTCTCATTGTGCTGCCTGCATTGCCGCATTGCTCCCTCACGACGCCCTCTTCGCCACAAGCAGACCAACACTGCCCCCGTCTGCGCTGCTGCACCTCTCTACTTGGACCCAGTGCACAGAGAGAGCTTTGATTACTACAGCGAAAAATCCACTCGACCAAGGGAAAATCGAGAACGCTACTCTGACGCTTGATAAATTCCTTAGGAAAAACGATATCGCTCCATGCAAGAACACATTCGCCGCGCTCATCCAGAACACTACATTTCGAAGCTCCCAGCGACCGAGGAAAGCTTCATGCTCATGATCAACACTCCTCCATCCGAACGTCCAATGCAGCAAAGCGCAACTTCTGTTCCCCAGGGTTCGTCCCTCTCAATCCAGGGCTATCCCCCAAAGATTGACCATCTTCAAGGCTTCAATCACGACCATCACATGTATGATAACAGTAACCCGGGCACGCCTCGAACCATGGACGACCACGCCGTTGGTTCCATGCTCCCCGCTGCCAGTGCTGCTGCGGCGCTGGCTCAGCTCCACGGTCACAAAGTCGAACCCGAATGGGAGGAAATGGTGAGTTAGAACATCCTCCCCTGACTGACTTACAAACTCGAACCACGATTGCTAATCAAATGTGCGCTACTAGGGTTGGCACTCAGACACGGAGGGACGCCGCATTCCAAGGACATCAATTGAGCTGCCTCCGCTGCACTTGACGAATAACGACATTACTAGCGAGCCATTCCCAGCTATGAACTCCAGTCGGCCACGGGATATTCTGCCGTCAATTCTGGCGAATTCGCCCCCCGGTCGCTCTTCAACATTACCCCCAATCCAACGGCCTGCTGTAGGACCTGCCCGACCAAGGAAGCAGTCCGTCACCAAGAGAGGCCGAGAGGCGCACCACAAGAAGCAGAAGTCTCGCGGCTCGGCAGCAGACTGGCTTCGGCGGATCCAAAACGACGAACGGCTTAGACCAGGTAACAATGACCGTAAGGCGTTATCGGCTGAACCTTCTGCAGACTATGGGAAGAGATGGGAAGATCTCATCGATGCCGCCGATCAAGCTGCATCAGCTGCCGGCGACATCGATGAGGATAGGACTCCAGTAAGAAGCTTTCATGCGCTCGCATCTTCACATTCTCTGACCTTTATCCAGATGCCTCAATCACCAGTTTCTATTCACCGGGCTTCTTTGCCGCCATTCCAGCACCATGGATTTCCATCAGCGACAGCTGGAGGGAACTATCAAGCCTCGCCATTGCAGCAGGCCTTGACCCCGCCATCCTACAGCCAGGACACAATTGACCCATTCCCGTCGGTTGAAAGCGGTGAAAGCGGGGAGAACTTCCACATCGAGTCGCGAGGCCTATCGGATTCATCACCGAGTTATTCTTCTCAGAATACCCAGATCTACTGCGCAGCCTGTCAGAGCGTTTCACTTCTCAAGGACTCATACGCCTGCACAGAATGCATCTGCGGTCTGTGCCAGGCGTGTGTCGACGTTCTCATGGCAGAGCAGGGGGCTCGCCGCAAATGCCCCCGTTGCGCAACAATCGGCGGCCGGTTCAAGCCGTTCCAGCTTGACATCCGGTGATTATTATGTCTTGTCAACGACCATCATGCATACGTTACGCACAAATATTGGAGCTCTGAGGCCCACAAATTGCATTTGAAATCACACACGGCGTCTTGGATTGGGCCAATGCGCATATACAGCATCAAAGCTTGGCATAAGGATTCACCGCATCGATAATACCCCCGGCGTTGCAACTTCGCGAGAGCTTAGACAGAGAGCTTTTCACGAGCCGGTTTCTTCACATTCTTTACATTATTATACGGACTAGTGACTCGTGACAGTCTTGGATAGGTGTGGTTCTCTCTTTTTTCTTGATGCTACAGGCAGAGTATGGGATATCAAAACGATTACAGGATTAAGGGTCGGCTTGCACGTCGTTATGATCTTGCTTTTCTTTCTTTTCTTTTTTGGCTTATTGATAATTTGTTCTGGGTGGGTATAGGCAAACTGTTTTTTTAGGAGTACTCCATTGGTTTATAGATGCCAATCATGAATTTAAATCAATCTAAGCTATAACATCAAAATTTTGTATCATGGGTATCATTCAAAACTCGTCTTTGTCACTAATGTATACAAGAAGCAAAATTGGATGAGCTCATCATCTTCTCGAGTCCTTCTCCTTTTCTTTCTTCAAAAGCAAATCGCGCATGGCGGCTCTAGCGTTGCGGCTACCGCCCAGCTTCGGACCCTTGAGGACTTCTTCATCGGCCTTGCGAGCCCCGGCGCGAGCCGCCGGCGCTGCCGTCTTCTTCTTTTGTTGGCGCTGGACCATGGCGTCCATGAACTCGCGCCGGAATTCCTCGGCGATGCGGTCGTCTGCGTCGCCGTCGCCTTCGTTTTGGGGTTCCTGTGGTTTTGGTACATCGTAGACGTCGACTAAGTAAGGTTTCCAGATTAGCATGTGCTTGTTGGCCCCATTGAAGGAGACGGTGCAAAACTCACGTCTGTTCTCGCGCAGAATCTCCTCGACGAGCTGGTCGCGTTTGATGTCGTCGCTGGTGCGCCTGTTCCTGGGCCGCCAGGGTTTACCGTCCCTGCCGAGGCGGGGTTTCTTGGCTCGCCGGCCGCCGGTATCGTCGTCGACGGATTCGCCTAGGAGGCGGCGGGCTGCCTTTTCCGTCATGGCTTGGTTCCGGGCGCGGACTTCGTCGCCGAGGTCGACTTCCATTAGTTTCCCTTGCATGATGGGGTGGTTTTTGGGGTCTGGAAGTTCGGCTGGTCCGGCGGAGGGTGCTGTTGTTGACGGATTCGTTACGACGGTGGCGGCTTGGTGTTGGGAGGAGGTTGGAAGTTCGGATTGTGGTGGGGGGTTGCGGTTAGAGAGGTGCGATTCTATGTATTCCATCCTTGCTTGATCAGCCTCTGGCGTCGGGATGAAAAGGAAGGATGAGAAGTGGAGCTTCCCTGGGGGGGGTTATACTTACATGTGTTTGTTGACGATTGTAGTCGCTGCTGCGCCGGTCTGCGGCGCGAAGCGCTTTGCGATGAGGGGGTCGTCGTCTGGGGCTTGTGCTGGGACGGAAACCAGTGCGCTGGATGATGATGATAGGCTCACTGGGTCTGTATCATCTCCTCCGGCGCCGGCGAGGGCGGTTGTGCCTCGCGCAGAGAAGCCTACGCCGTTGAGTCGCTTCCGAGCGCGGTGGCGGAGGGCGGAGGGGATGTGTGCTTCGGGGCCCTCGTCGGCGGTGGTTTCCGTGGCTGGTGCAGATGTCGTGGTGTTTCCTGCTGTCGATGTTGATTTCGAGGCTGCGGCGGTGTCGTCGTCATCGGCGGCGGGCGATGCGGCGCGTTGGCGGAGGCCTGCTTTGCGCTTCTTGTTTGCGCGGAAGAGGATCGGGGCCGGGGCCGGAGCCGCGTCTGTGGTTGGGGTTTCGTCGGCGGGTGGCGCCATGATGGAGTTGAAGTGGGCGCCGGGGCGCGCTGGTACTGGTTGTCTGTGCGCTGGATTTAAAACTCGGCGGGTTGTCCTGGGTGCGACGTTTTTTGGACGTTGATTTCGAGGATGTGAAGATAGGTGGATGTGTATGTTGTAAATCGGAACGTGGACAGAAGGCGCAAATTCGCCTGGGCGATCGAGGCCGCGCCAGGAAACTCCACCTTGCAGAATGCCGAGGATTAGCCTATCGATAATGGACTGGACAAGGGGGGTCAAGCATGTAAGTGCAACCCACTGGCATGGATGTCATCGGTGTGACGGTGTCAGCGACCCCCACCAGGTTGGTTCCCGCTTTTTGTCTTTGCCAACGGCAAGCATGTCGCAAGAAGCTCGAGGGGGAGCTCTGAGCTACTTTTAACCTCTGTGCATCCTCACTCTCTGAGGCCTTGCAACTTCATCTACAGTCGTTGAAAATCAGATCGCAAGTCAACATGGTGAAGAGGGTATGCAATTTCTCCACTGACAGGATTTTAGACATACTGAAGAGAAGTTAGATATACTTTCTGGCCCATGGCGGTCAAGTGCAAGGTACGTTTCTTGCAGCCCCTCCCTTACCCTCCACATGAGCTCCGAGCTTTTATCTGGATAAGAAGGGAGGGGTGTGAACTTGTGATAAGTGACTTTTTTATTTCGGGGCACACTGACGTCACAAATTCAGGTGTCGGATTCCGGTATGTGATGGGATTTTCCGACAACACGGTTTTTCAATTTCGTTTGGACCAGTTGGGTGTCAATTGAATTGGCGATATTCACCTTTGTAAGAGTATGATACTGACGAAGCGATGCGGTTGACAGGTACTTTACGCAAAAGAGAGCCACAGAGTATGGTCTTACGGGATGGTGTCGCAACACTGATAACAACAAGGTGAGCTTTGGGTACTTTTTCTTCAATCATTTCCAGGAGTCATTGATCGACATGGGATTTGACGAGGAATTGCGCTTCTGAGAAACCTGGCTGCTGACTCGGCTGGGGCATAGGTTGAGGGAGAGGCGCAAGGTGATGAGGATGCGCTGAAGAAGCTGCTTAAGGACATTGACGAGGGACCGAGATCCGCCAGGGTTGTCAAGCTTGACCAGGAGGAGAGAGATCTTGTTCAGGACGAAAAGGACTTTGCAGTTCGGCGATGAGTTGTCGCTTGAGTGACTTCTGTTTGAAGAACAACATTAGTAAGGAGACCGAGATTGAGAGGGGTAGGTGGTGAAATATTATCGCCATGACTGCGTCTTAACAACTTTCCTTGCCTGGAGGGGACCTTGCTTGCCCAGTAACACGATAAGCATATCTCGATGACAGTAGACTTGATAGAGTACCCAATATACTCACGGGGAATGTTTGACTTGAGCAACATGTTCTGCTTCTTGATCAGGCAGAACGAGGAAAGACTGGCATGCTACAAGCCAAGCCCACGTCCCCCCTCTCAGTTTGCTTTAGTATCAAGACCGTTAGAACGCGCGAAGGCAGAGAAACCCATTTACCATGTACCAACATCATTATAGCTATATTGCGTGAAGGAATAAGACCTCCGCAAGTTTACAGATCAGCGTTCTCTACCTCCAAGAGAGTGTTTTCCTTCTGGGTCATGACCTTGCGGAACACCAGTGGCTGCGTTGTCGCCCCCTGGGAGACTGCAAAGATGATAGGATGACAGAGCTGATACAAAAAGGGTGCAAGATGCGAGATGGCCCAAGGTACTACAACTTCGGGTCAAGGTTCAGGCTGTTTTGCATTGTTTTCTTCAGCAGCTTGGCGTTCGTGTCACCCTGACCTCTGGTTATGTTGCACTTCTTCAAGACTTCCTTCACCAGGGCCTCGTCCCTTGCGGTCAGTATCAGTGAGCCCCCAAGTGCGTTGACTACACCAGTCCGTCGGCGCCTTTACACCTCCAGCATTGTCTCATGGGTATTACCGCTAAGCCTTACGGAATGCATGCTAGACGCTGGAAAAAGACGGGCGTCTCATGGACTTATGACCTCGTCTTCCACCCAAGCCAGCTTGACGCGAGCCCGCGGTATGCGCCGCGCGATTGCTTCCAGCACTGGTTTCTTGGCTGTGGGAGGACTGACCGGCGACGTCTTCGCACAAACCGCAACCTTGCCACCACCGCGCATCAACTCAATTAAAATGTCGAGCGACGAACACACCTCATCGGTTCAGCATTGTTGCCCAGTGTGTCTCCTGTCAAGGCGATGTCTTACAGAACAACAATGGCGCGATGCTTTTTTACTGGAAGCTACAAAGACATTAGGATTTACCTTGATATACAAAGGCCCCAAGATTCGACATGCCCTGTCCTGATAAACACAACGACAATTGGCGATACTGGTTTCCGCCCAGAAGAAGTACGCGCCAACAGAGACTTTAGCGGTGTGCCCCTCTATGATACCCCGGGGGCCATTCGAACGTTGTGAACATCACCAAGTCACTTCAAACTACATCGGCCCGTCAGCGTTGCTATTCCTTCGACTCTGCCGCGTAAGTATTATCCCTAGGCTTCGAGGAAGACACTACAGACGCTAGAGAAAGGCCAACATTTCTCGGAACAAGATTGGCCGTATGAGATTTCCCGAGAGCGATTATCACGAGCCCACCGCCTGGTCGAAGCCGACCGCAAAAGGGGGTCGCGGCGTGAACACTTCCTACGTTACTAACTTCAAAAACGTCTACAAAGACCTGCCATGGTTGCTCCCGATCTTGTCTATTAGGGTTATGCCCAACTTCTTGATTTTGGCTTTGATGGGAGCACGGGAGGTATCTAATACGTGGCGGGACATGCTCAATTGATAACTTGAAACTGCTGAGCTGATTCTTGGAAAGTCTTACGATGAGCCAGTCCCTGCACAAGCTTTCTGGTATTCCCTTCCATTTCATTCCGGAGGGGTGTGTATTCAGCCCGCAATAAGAACCATCAATACTTTGGTGCTCACGTCAAGTATTTTGTATCTTGACAATGTTATCTTACATGGCCTTGCTCACGCCAAAATGATGCTCGCCTTTTGCGACACCATATATATGCCTCGTGGCATCTTCTTCAGTCACCGGGTCTAGAAGCTGCGACGATAAATAGGAGTCAAGTCTCAAGGGATCCAACAACCTCGGGGGTTCATAGATTCTATCCAAAACACCAAAAACGAAAGATCGCTAAACGCCTCTACCCCTTCGCTTAATAACAGGCTTCCTCACAGCCCCATGTGTGACAATCTTCTTCCCCCCCGCCGCCGCCGCCGCACCCCCACCAGTCCTCCTCCTCTCCAACCTCTGCTTCTCCGCCTCCACCCGGTCCGCCTCCCTCTTCTTATCCTCGGCCATCTTAGCCTCGATCTCCATCTTGCGGTTAAACTCCGTCTCGGTAATGCGCTTGTCCCGGACGGAATACCCCTTCTCCTTGACAGAGTAAAACACGCCGCCCAAATCGGCGAGCCAGTGCGGGTCCACCGCCGTGACGGTCGACACGTACACTTTCGACGTCAGGATGAGCTCGTGGTAGACGACGTAGTCGGGCGGGTGGCCCGCGTACAGCGCCGACGTCGGGTGCAGCTGGACGCCGAGGTTGGTCCGCAGATTGATATACTCCCCGGAACCCTTGTACTTGGCCGCCTGGTGGTAGTAGCCGCTGCAGATGCACTTGCGGATGACGTCCCAGTCCATGCCGCAGCTCAGCATCTCCATCTTTTGCATCTTCATGATGTCGAGCAGCTGGTCGCGGATCTCCTTTGCGCGGCGCAGCGACTTGGGGTGCAAGAAGTGCTTGATGCACCACCCATCTGAGCAGCCGTTGGACCGCCATGCCGAGTACACCTGGAGGTACGTCAGGTGGTCCGACTCGTGGACCCAAAACTTTTCGCGCTGGGCATCCGCCTCATCCTGGCGCTCTTTGGGTCGGTAAAAGACGTTGGGGACGGAGAGCATGGACACAATGGTGATCATCTCCTCGCTGCAGCCGTATTCCTCGGCCGTGATGAGGAGCTTGGAGAGGGACGGGTCCATTGGGAACGCGCTCATCTTTCGACCGAGCGTGGTCAGCTCTCCCAAATTGTCCAAGGCGCCCAAGGCCCACAGATCGAACATTGACGTTGTGATGGTGTCCTGTGGTGGGGGATCCATGAAGTCGAAATCTAATAGATCCTTGACGCCCAGGGACTTGAGCATGAGTACCGTGTTGCTCAGATTCGTACGCTGGATTTCGGGAATCGTCTGCATGTAGAGCTCCTCTTTGAACGCCTTCTCCGTGAACAGTCGGAAAGCCTTTCCAGGTCCTGTTCGACCGGCACGTCCTGATCGTTGCGACGCGTTTGCTTGGGAGATTGGCGTGATCTGAAGAGTGTCCATACCCATCTTTGGATTGTACACCTTCATCTTGCTGTACCCAGCATCCACCACGTATTTGATACCGTCGACCGTCAAACTCGTCTCGGCGATATTTGTCGCAACGATGCACTTGCGCACACCTGGCGCCGCGCGGTCGAAAATCTTTGCTTGCAAGTCTGCCGGCATCTGACTGTAAATGGGCAAGATGCTTAGCTTCGGGGGATCGTTGAGAGCATCGAGACGTTTCTGGATCAGCTCGCAGGTGACCTCGATATCTTCTTGTCCCGTCATGAATACCAAGATGTCGCCCTGGTCCATGGACACGTGTATGGCCAGGACCTGCTGAACCGCCTGATCCACGTAGTCCTCGACCGGTGACCTGTGGAACATGACATCGACGGGGAAAGTTCGGCCTGGGATGATGAACTCCGGCGCTCCACCGTAAAAGTCGGAGAAGCGCTTCGCATTCATCGTCGCAGACGTGACGATGAGCTTCAGATCTCGCCGTCGCTGGAGAATCTTTTTGAACAGACCCATGAGGATATCCGTGTTGAGAGCTCTCTCGTGGGCTTCGTCCATGATGACGCACGAGTACCTGTCGAGATCAGGCTCGTTGAGCGACTCGCGCAACAAGACACCGTCCGTCATGTACTTGATGACGGTGTCTTTGCTGGTACAATCTTCAAAACGAATCGCGTAGCCCACCGTGCTGCCCAGCTTGACTTCCATCTCCTCAGAGACACGCTTGGCGACACTCATCGCGGCCACACGCCTCGGCTGCGTGCACCCGATCATGCCCGACTTTCCAAACCCGTCCTCGTAAAGGAACTGCGTCAGCTGCGTCGTCTTGCCGGATCCCGTCTCGCCCACCACGATGATGACTTGGTTCTCCCGGATGACACGCATCAAGTCCTCCCGAACGGCAAACGCAGGTAGGTATTGCCTCTGCTCGCGCAACGTCTTGCTCCGACTGAAATCACTGCTGCCCCCATCATCCTTCTTCATGTGGTCGCTGAATTTGTTGCTGTTCTCGTTCGTCTCCTCCTTCTCTCCTCCCTTCTTCGCATCGTTCTCCGACGCCACAGGCAACGCGCTGTCGCCGTCGTCCTCCTTCACGCCCATCAAGTTTCCCAAAGCCGTTCCGGCCATGCTCGTAGCCTCCTGCGCCTGCCGCTGCCGTTCCCGCTGCTGGCGTGACTCCTTCACCACCTTGCTTCCCTTCCGACTAAACACAGCCATGTCGCTCTGGTAGTCGCGGACAGCCGGCACGGGTTCCAGCTGCTTTGTGAAGATGGTTCGTCCATCGAGGAACGGAGGCCGCAGATCGTGCACCAAAAGGTGGACTCTCGTCGCCTCCTCGTCGTCGAAATCGGCACCCATATCCCTCCTCTGCGCGACACCCGAGACGAGCATGCGATTCGTCTCCCACGCGTCGTTTTCCCTCTGCCTCTGCTCCCTGCGCGCGTCGAAGCGCCCCGTCATCTTCTCGGCCTTAACCGCCTCCTGCTTCTCGGCCTCCCATGATGAGTACGAGGCGAAAGGATTGTGTGTGTCGTCGCCGAAGGTGTGGCCGCCAAACTCGTCTCCCATGTACCAGTCGCGATCCAGCGCTTTCGAGTCTTCGTCGGTGGGTTCGGGGACGTCTCTTGCCGGTGTCTCGGCGGCGCGGGCGTCGCGCGGTGTCGAGCGGCCCGAATCTTGGAATCGCCCTCCGTCTATCCTCCGGCGCTTGAAGCTGGGCCCTGATCCATCTCTGTTGTCGTACATTTTGTGATTCCTGTGATGGCGCAATTCGTCGCCTTGGCGTTTGCTGCTCTTGGCGTGATTATTATCTTCGTTGACCCGTCGCCGGAGTAGAGTTTCCTTGGATGTGTGAGGCCCAGCGTGCGTATGTGATGGATTCAATTTCGAGTATCGGAAATGTAGTGAGGCATGCAGTTTAGAATTGCATGTAGGCAGGCAACCCCAAGTAAACAAAGCTTGAGAAATGGGGCCGCACCTTGCCAGACGGTTTAAACGGGTCTGGCTCTCTTATGTGTATATCCATAACAGACGTCACTGACGGGTCCGATAATGCAATGAACGCGACTTGAACACGGCCTCGACTTAAGAGGTACCATTCTGCCCGCTAATGCATTTCTGTTTTTTTCTTCTCCTTTTTTTCAAGAAACGTTCAAATAGGGTCTCAAAGAGCCCTCATGCCTTGATTGATTATATGGTAAGACGCTTTCAGTTGAAGCGTGCAAGAATTACCTTAGCCAGCTACCTTTCGGAGTACATGTGAACTAGTTACATTAAAGCCTACCCCAAAATCTTCGAGGTGTCTTATCGATAATGGAAGAGATAAGATAAACCCCACCACGACGGGAATTTTTTTTCTCACAGTCGCCCAGACTTGGTGAATTTTGGAGAATTTGCGCATACCGACTTGACTTCTCCTAGTCAAATAAATCTCAAATATTTTTCAAGTTGTGCAATTACCCTGCCAACTTCGACAGCCAGCGTGCATTTGAATGCGCGCGCGCAATAAACTCAGTCACTAGTGACCTTCCGAGGAACACATTGTCTTCAAGATGTCCATGATCACAACATCAACCTGGGTGCCCCGAGGCTTCGCGGCACCCTTTCCCTCAAAATACACCTTTGACGAGTCCGAGTACGAGCGCATTGCCGAACTCGCCAAGCTGCAGCTGGATGACGCCGAAGAGGACCTAAGGGAGGCGCAGGACGAGGAGGAGGGCGCCGACAAGCCCGCCGACGACGATGCGACAACAGGCGCATCTGGCAAGAAGGCCGAACAGTTAGTATTGACTTAAACTATCCGCTCGCTGAGCGGGGGTCTGCAGGATACACATGGTTCGCTAACCGTAGACCACCTTGTAGGGTCAATATCAACGACGACGATCTGAAGGAGTACGACCTCGAGCATTACGACGACACCGATGAAGAGGACGAGGAAAAGGTCGGCCAGGGTGAAGGTATGGCCATGTTTGGCAACATCAAGTCGCTAGCCTACTACGAATCCAATAAGGACGACCCGTACATCACCCTGCCCGCCAATGGTGGACCGGACGACGACGATGAGGACCGCGAGGACCTGCAGATCCTAGCGACCGACAACCTCCTGCTCGCTGCCAAGGTCGAAGATGAGATGGCTCACCTCGAGGTCTACGTCTACGAGGACGCCGCCGACAACCTCTATGTCCACCACGACATCATGCTGCCTGCGATCCCCCTTTGCGTCGAGTGGCTCGACATTCCCGTTCAAAAGGCCGGCGTTGACAAGGACTCGACGGCCAACTTCGTCGCCATCGGCACCATGGACCCCGATATCGAGGTCTGGGATCTCGACACGGTAGACTCCCTGTACCCTAACGCCATCCTCGGTCAGGCCGGTGAGGGCTCAGAAGAGAAGAAGAAGCAAAAGAAGAAGAAGAAGGCCAAGAAGGCTAACGACGAGTACCACGTCGACGCCGTCCTCGCCCTTGCCGCGAATAGGAAACACAGGAACCTGCTGGCCTCCGCCTCTGCAGATAAGACAGTGAAGCTTTGGGATTTGCACACGGCCAAGTGCGCCAAGTCATACACTTACCACACGGACAAGGTGTGCTCTCTCGCGTGGCACTCGGTCGAGTCCACCGTGTTGCTCAGTGGCAGCTACGACAGAACGGTCGTCGCCGCAGATATGAGAGCTCCCGAGGCCAAGGCCCCTAGATGGGGTGTCGAAAGCGACGTCGAGAACATTCGTTGGGACCCCCACGACCCCAACTACTTCTACGTCTCCACGGAGAACGGAATCATCCACTTCAACGATATCCGCAATGCGCCGTCAACCCCCGAGGCGACCAAGGCTGTGTGGACCTTGCAGGCACACGACGAGTCTGTCTCGTCCTTCGACATCAACCCCATCGTGCCCGGCTTCATGGCCACTGGCTCAACTGACAAGACGGTGAAGCTGTGGAACATCCAGGCTAGCGGTCCTTCCATGGTTGTCTCTCGCAACCTGGACGTTGGCAAGATCTTCTCAACGCAGTTTGCGCCCGATTCTGAGGTGGCTTTCAGACTCGCCGTTGCTGGCAGCCGCGGAACCATGCATGTGTGGGACACTAGCACCAACGCCGCCGTTCGACACGCGTTCGCTGAGCGTGTCCCGCAAAAGCCGGAGGGCGTCGAGGAAGACCGTCTTGTTGGCGTTCTTGACGATGACAGCAGCTCCAGCGAAGACGAAGGAGAGGAGGGCGAGCAGGATGGCGATTCGATGGACGAGGATGAGGACTAGGGTAGACGCTAATCAATATGGATGGTGGGCCTTTCACATGTGTTGTCAGATGTAGCCTGCTCGCTGTCTGGCCCAAGATCGCCAGGGGAATTTTCCCGCAGGCTTGGCCAGATGGATCGAAACCGCAGGCCCAACTAGTCTCCGGCGCCCGCCCAGAACTTAGAAAGCCATAGGCCACATACATCACACTGATGATGACGACTCTGGGCTGGCGCTGTTGAAAACGGCGGAGGAATTAGACGGCCTGTATCAATCAGGTGGAGAACAGCCTTTCAGTGTAGAAGTTAGTCTCGAGTCGTCCGAAGTTAAATGCCGTCGTCTGAACAGCATCAAGCATGGACCACATTAGTTTCGTCGACACATATAGCCAAGCCCGTCAAACAATGGCCTCAAACCGGGAAAATAGTTGGTGAGGAGCACACCGTCAGAGACTGATATATGTGAAGAGGCTAAACGTCAAGGAGTGAAACCACGACTGCGTGGCCCCCAAAGGTTGTTCAGTGTTCACCTCCATTGACTGCTGCGATGGGGTATCAGTGTCGTGATAGGGTGGGAGGCTCGCTAATTAAGCATGAACAAAGCGTGGAAGGGGGAGCGGCAACAGCCTGACATCTTCATGCGTAGACATGATGAAGGAGGTAGTGGATCGATATCAGATCTAGGATAAGAGCCGGGCCCGGATATTGCTCTAGGTCTGTTCGCGACTGCAATCTTTGTTTTTGTTCTTCCGAGTATCAAGCTCGAGCAGGGCCATGCCCCAGTCAATCGTTCGAGGCATCCGTAGTGTAATGAAGAATATTACCAGCCAACGGTGCCATTTGGGCGATTCCGAAGTCGCTGAGGGATTTCTCCTGGCTTCTAGACCGAGAGTCTTTGCCTCCCGCGAGCAGCCAGGCGAGAAGAATGCAGTTCCTGATCGACTGGTTCCCACCCCACCACAAGGCGATTCCCCTGGAAGATGCGCAAGGGCAGCAGAGAGTTGTGTGGTTGCGGGGGCGGATGGGCGAGTGAAATCGCTGGGCCCAAGAGCGCAAGGAGCGCTGACTGGTGAAAGGCCATGAACGTCGACATGGATCCCTGTCCGGCTTGCGCAGGCACGCAAGGCACACGGCGCCACTGGAGTGGGATGGCGCAGGATGAAACAGTGAAACTTCAGGGGGGCCTGCCAACGGGCGAGGATGGCGGACGGAACACCCAGCCAATGACGCCTCTGTCTCGGTCTGGTTGAGCTATCACTGGGGACGGCCGGGAACCACCGGCCACGAGACCTTTCTCGGCTGTTGGGCTTTTTAGTTGACGCTGTCTTGATTCTTGGAGGCGTCGACTCCAGTCACTGGTCCAACAGACAAGAAACCCACAACTTTACAACAGCCCAGTCCAGCCCTTCTTTTTTCCTCCGTTCAAGGCGGATCATATCACACTGTTCAGACAAGGATGATGGTGGCTTCCCGGAGAAACCTGGCAGGTTGACGATGCGCCGCGGCTCGCACATCTTGAATCGCACAATCTTCTGCCAGGATGTGAACGGTGCCGCGTGCGAATCGCTCAAAGTTGGCGGGTCGGCGTCCGTCGGGGCCCACGAGTTGATCGAGGTGCCGGTGGATTGGCGATTGTATTGATTAAGAGGTTCGGTTCCTGCTCGAATACTCCCCTGGTGATGGCGGCCGTGGTGAAAGACTTGGATAGGAACCGTCCATCCGGATAGAGCAGTACAAAAGCGTGTTGGCCACGTCAAGCTTCCTGAAGAAAGGACTGTTTCCTTTTGTGTGCCGACCAAGACTTCGTTACCTGTACGCCACACAGAAGGCAATATGGCAGAGAAAATACATGGCGGTCGCAGGCCAACGCTTGTGTAGTTGGCGAAGTGCGGATACGTAAGTGGAGGCAGCAGTCGCTGCATCGGACGTAGTGTTGGTATTGAAGGCACCGGTCCGTCGACGTTGTGTGGATGTATGAAGATGCCCTAAGAGTGAAAGATCCAATGAGGCCGACAAAAGCGAGGGCAACGGTCCGGAAGAGGTGTCAAAGGAGAGCGAGTGACGCGCCGGACTGGTCTCGGCTGTGCTGGTCTGACGATGTTGGGCATTCTTTCCAGAAGGCAGATCATCGCAATCCTTGATTCCCCCTTTTGGTGGCGGCAGGATTGGGTCGACGGTCGACGGTTGTTTGAACTCTGGGCTGACGATTGGCATCGATCCATGTGCCATCCCGCCGTTCGAGTCGTGCCAGCCAAACGTTTCTTGGCGGATGGATGGGCGGCGGTTGTCACGCAGCGAGCCCGGCAGACACATGGTTGCATCCTCTTCCTAATGGATGGAGGGTCGTGGGCCAAAGCCAGCACACACTCAAATTGAACAGTGGATAGCGGGCATGGATGATGGACTGAAAGGGAGGTGAGTGTGACGGAAGAGAGTGAGGTGGACGGCCAAAAAGTTGACCGTGGAATAATTGGTACGTATCCAAGGATACTCGGTGGAGAGTGGAGGGAAAAAAGAGAAAGGGCCAGGGCCAGGGGTTCGTTGACAAACACAAGCTGTCATTGGTGCAGAGGCCATCTCCTTTGAGCCTTAGCGTTGGATAAGCGGGGGCATCTTAGGAGACACTGTGAGGAGCAAGGGAGCCTTTCCCTTTCAGTTCGCCAAGTCCCACCGTCGACAGGGGGAGCGCTGGTGAAGCGAAAAGGAAAGACGGCAGGCATGGTGGCATGGCGGCATGGCGCCAGTAATTCTTGCCCACCCGCAAGTGGCAGTCTCCAGTCGTTGGCTCCAGTCCCTGCGAGTAAAGACCGTCCAGAGCCAACCAGAACGGGCGATAGGGCAATCAAAGAGCGACATCCCCCAGGTCCCAAAGGGACCCGAGCCCCATTCATTCTTTTTTTCGGCCAGGAACCAGGCCCGGGTCAAGGTTGCAAGAGAGGGAAAGCCAGAGGTAGAGAGAGAAAGGAAGGAAAGAGAGGAGTACCGTGCCTATCTAGAACCGAGAAAGAGCTACTTCACCTTAGGTAGGTACGGAGTAAGGTACCTACCGACCTGCCTTCCCATAGAGAAGATCGCACCTGCAATATTCAATTATTACTCCCACACGCCCGGCCCTGGTCTGCCATTTTACGCGCCCTCTCTTCTCTCTTTTCCTTCTCCTCAACCTATTCCATTCCCCATATTGGAAAAAGGATCCTGTCCCTTTCGCTTCTGCTCTAGCAAACACATCATCGCTCCCTTTGTGTTGTGTCTTGTTTCTATTCTCGCCTTTTCTCTAGACGTTCTCCCTCCCCGGAGTACTCGAAAGCATTACATCTTTGTCGCGGGCTCGAACTTGTACGGCAGAAACCACCCACAACTCTCTACCTATCTCTTCAAATATCGCGCGACACGTTGAACGTTCCTTTTCGGCTTGCTAATACTGCACCGAACCGTCCGTCATTACACACGAACGAAACCACTCACAATCATTTCATCAACCTCATCACACTGAGTCACCCCAAGACTCATCACAGCTCATAAAGCAACAATATCAAGTCTCAACCGGATCGACGCCGACTCATCGTACTCCCAAAGTACCCCAGGACTGGACTCCTCACCTATTGTCTCGGACGAATAGCAACACAACGCAACTCTCGCGCAGGATAATCCACCACGGCCAGCCCGCCGTCTTAATCATTTGTCTTGCTTGTTGTCATCATCACCGTGGACAGACGGACACACAGGCACACCATCAACCCAACGATCACTCCCTCGGCAGATCCTCTTAGTGACCGCCCCCATTCACCTTTTTTCGGCATCACTTCCCTGCTGCTCACTTGACTGCAACTGTCTTGCAGCACAAGATCCACCTCACACGCCAGTAAAGGTCACAGGTCCAATCACAAGTGCAGTCTCTAGCACTTTTTATCACCACCATCTGCCGCTCTTCACAGTCCGTCACTGCACAACAGGCTCTTACTCCCGGATCAGGCGCTTGCGTTCCGTTACTTAACTCAAGCTCACCTTCACAACCAGCAAGGCCTTGCGTTTTGCCCACGTCTTCGCACTGTCAAATTCGGAGTTAGCTTTGCCCACACTCATCAACATGTCGTCTCTCTCACGAGCCTTTACTACCCGTCGGGTCAAGCAGAGCATCGATCTCTCCGACGCCGCGCGGGGGAAGGAGCGCAGCAACACCATGCAGCGAAGCAAGACCACCAAGCACCCCGTCATCAGACACAAGATCTCTGCGCCTATGGAGCTTGTTCACACCACCAACATGCTCTCATATAACGCTCCCGATATTCGACCCCGGACCGGAACCGATGCCTCGAGCAACTCATCCAGGAAGTCTTCAGAGGAGGACTCGGAAAGCGCCAACTCCACCGCGTCGTCTCCCCCGACCAGCCCCGACGTCGCGCCTCACGAACTGTCCAAGGAGCCAAACCACCTGTCCTGCTACTTTGTTGCCCCTGGCCAGGCTATCAACTCTTCGATCCCCGAAGTCCCCGCCATTCCTTCCATTCCCAAGCGCGCACCTTCGCACACGAAGCAGGCGTCATACGACGCCGTTGCCCGCCAGCGCTCAGTTTCTCAGATGTCCAAGTCTTCGGACAAGACCGTCTCCTCCAAGGCCAGCATGACATTCTCCTCACGGGCGTCATCGGGTTCCAGCTCAGCCTCTACCATGTCTCATAGCTCAGTCGCCCCCGCTCTCAAGACTCCTGTGCCGCCTGTGCCCACGCCCGCATTCCAGCATCACCACCAGCCGAGACACGAGAAGCCTGCCGAGCCACACCCCTTCGGCCGCGAGTTGGCCCAGGTTACGGAAATTGCAGAGGAGTTTGGCATCAAGGACGATCTCATGTACGAGGAGGAGCGCGCCCTCAAGGCGGAAGGTCTCTGCAAGTTTGCCGCAGAAGACTACCTCACGGAGGTCCAAAGCATCTTCGCCAGCTTCTTCCACGACAGCCACGCACCTCAACGTCCAATGGCTGCCGCCGCTTGGATCTGATGCGTTGGTCGCTTTTACCGCCTGCTGGGCATACCTTACTTGAGAACTCTTCTTTGTACATACTTGCAGGAAGCAAAAAAACAACCTGACTACGACTTCGGCCTTTTTCTTAGGAAGGGAGATGACGAAAACGAGACTTTTGGCTCAGACAACAGCCTCACTTGGAGCGGACACTTCGCGAAACGGAGGGAGATTGCTCTGTTTGGAACCTGACGCCCAACTACATATGGGATAATTGGCGTTTCTGTGTATATACCTTTGAATGACGTGTGGATATTCCCCGATAGTGCCTCCTATAGAGGCGTCTACCAATATTGCTATTGATAACTGGCTACATCATTTCTGCGGCATGTTTTCTTGATTGAGCCTCAAGTGTAATGTGAAGGAGACTTGTTTTGATGAATGCCACGCGGTCCGTGGTGGTTGACCCAGAGTTCATCGCTGCATGACGCCACCCGTGCGCTGCAGCCTGTCCACGTTTATTTATTTACTTACTGAAGGGGCCTTATTTCGCCTGATGATTTGTCTTCATTTCATCCGTGCCTTCATTTTATCGGATGAGATGAACAAGCAATAGCCTCAAATGCAAACCCACAGACTGGTCGAAAACGGTGTACGAACAGATGCCAACGGGTATGCAACGCACAGCCAAAGCAAATAGGTAATACTCTCGAGCCAAACCCTTACGGTAAGGTAGGCAATAAAGTCTAGCGTAGTGCAGTACAATTTGGCGAGAGCGGGATGCAGGCAAGACGGGTTTAGCTCCACCGCCCGCCAGACCGAGCTATCGGAGACAGCGTCGCCGATGGAGGGTGGCGGTCGTGGCGATTTATCCGCATTCTTCCCTTGGTGCCCGGACCGATGAATCTACGCCAACGCCTTTTTTTTTTCCTCCTCCTTTCTGGTGTACGGAGTACCCTCTCTCCCTCTGTTCGTTTCTTTGTTGTGAAGTTTTTTTCTATTTAGCACAAAGGATGGCAACAGGATATTTTCTCTTCCGGGACCATGGGACGCCCCATTTCCTTCGGGGATATCTACGATACCGGTGGACTAGTGGCGGTATACGTAATTGCTTTTGAAAGTAGGGCTGTGGCATCCCCCCCGTCAATGTGAATCTAATGATCATCTGAATGATGTCCGATATAGGATCCGTGTCTAAGTACCTTGTTATCAAAAAAAGTTAATTCTTTCTAAGTCACAAATACAAGAATACAGTTTTAATAAAACAGTATAGTACCCACCTAGCACTTAAATTAAGATACTTTTTTAAGCTTACTATAAGAGAAAAATAACTATACTACTAACTACCTACTATCGAGGTCCGTAAGTAGCGCTATAGCTTTAATTACTATAGCTTTAACTATAATAGCTTCGCCTATAATAGGCAAAAAGTCTAGTTATAAGTCCTTTAAAAGCCTCTTATTAAGAGCTATAAGAACCTCCGAGTATACTAAGTTAAAATACTTACTAAGATATTAATAACTAAACTAACCCTATAATAACGACCTTAATAAAAAACCTAAAAAAAAACGCTAGAATCCTCGCCGTTATTAAGTACGATTTATAAAGCGTAATAACGCAGCCGCAGAGTATTACTAATATATTTTATGCTAAAAAGGGCATTATTAGTACTAATGAAATAAATAGGGCCGTATCGATATAGCGCCTCGGTTTCCTCCTATAGCTCAAAGATAATCGCCTTAAATAGTATTAGAAGTTTATTAAAAAGCTCTCTTAAATACTCTAGCACATTTACTACTATCTCCGTAATAATAAAACTCTTAGTACCTACGCATAAAAATAAGTTACTTATTTCTAAATAGTAATACTAGCTTATTAATAAGCTATCGAAACTATAATTCTGGTAATCCCTTAACGAGGGAGAGGGTAGAATGGAAGAAAGGATAGGAGACTTATAAAAAGGGTTGAGGTTAAATAGTGCGGAATTCGAGGGTAGGGTAGCGTCTATATATACTGCGGTAATCCTCTAGTAATACAAAACGATAGAGTTAAACAGTGGTGGGATCCGTGTCAAGTTCTCTTTTGTGTTGTTCGGGGTTCCCGCCTCAAGACGGAAGGATCGTCGGCGCGTCCCCGGGGGGGGGGGGGGGGGGGGGGGGGGGGGGGGGGGGGGGGGGGGGGGTTGGGGGGGGTGTTTTTTTTTTTTTTGTTTTTTTTTGGGGCGGTGGCGCGGGGGGGGGGGGGGGGGGGGGGGGGGGGGGGGGGGGGGGGGGGGGGGGGGGGTTTAGGCTTGTGGGTGTGGCGGGAGTTTTCAAGGGATTCTCTCTTTCTCAAAGTTTGTTGCATGTTGTCTTGC